TCAATGGATTTCTATTCCCCAATATCAGAGTTCGTGTGGTCAGGGTTCGTTTTTTCGGTACACCATGAAGAATGATATTTCTTCCACGGAAAAACTCCATGAGAGATTCCTTAGATGTGTTCCTGATGTGATTGCTCTCAGAATACGGTATGTCAGGCAGTATTCTTACATTCCCATCTGAGTTAAGTAAGTAACTAACTAGTGGGATAACCTATAAGTCGGTAGTGTTAGTAAATGTTACACAAAGTAGCCTTGATGCTAATATCTTTGTCATGAGCTAGTATAAACCGATTGATTTCTGTACCGACACAGTTCTGTGTATCTTTTAATATCCAAACGGCCATTCAACTGAACCAATTATGGTCAGTTTGGTAGATACTTGTAGATTAATATATCATGTAGTTGGAGTGAGAACTTTTGTCTCAGGGTAGTAGGAATCACGGATACGATAATCTATTACATTACTAGGCACCAGTTTGGTTGGCTATAAAAAGAAAAATATTGGTAAATTGTGCTGGCATAATGTCCTGAGTTCTTGATAATCTATCACGTTTTCTCTTAAAGGAATCCCGAAACGTCTCTTGGACTACTTTAGCAGGCAGCGAGTCGCGGAATCCCACTACACACTGAGTAAAATGTGTGCCTACAATCCGTTCTGCTATGATGTGTCTCAAATTTCTGGGTGTTAGCCTTAAAGTCTGTGCTGGAACTGATGTTAAGTAGGTGTATAGGGGGATGTTTAGTAGTGGTAAATAAGTCACTTCTGCGACGCCTATACTCTTTTAGGTAAGAATCCAGTGATTTACGACGTTTTTCATAGGGTTTAAAGTTGAGTCCTCGAACGTGGCTCAACTTTGGATAAATTCCACAGTATTTTTGTCTTTTCGGAGTGAAGGGAGAAACACTTTTATTTCATACTGTAAGTGGGGTGGAGAGAAAACTGTCAAACATTTACTCGAAAGTACTACTGTAGAACTGGCCAAAAGTGCGCCTCAACGTTCCCAGTGCACAATTTGTTCGGAGGGCATTTTTGTAGAAGTTAGCTTAAGATATTTAATCATAGTGCACCAAAAATCCTGGATGTTTGTCAACCGGGTATGCCTCTAGAGGGGAGTTACCAACGTTGTGTATAAAATTTACAACATGGACAACTTTATATTTTGAAGTATCGAAAGTGAGTCCCTAGATTTTCGCACAAATTTGAGGCCGAGACGGATCCTCATGGAGTGTCAGTTTATCATTTTGGTAACAAAAGTCTCACCAAATGTTTATATAGTCAATGGAAAGCAAGAAATCGGACGATGCTTGTTGATGGAGGTCATTTGTATAAATTGAGAGAAGCGGAGATCCCGGTACTGAGCCTCGAGGAACCTCACTAAAGCACTTTGTAGACTGAGAGAACATGAAGTTCGTCCTGACCCTAAATGTCGATTATTTAGATCTAAAGTAAACCAGTTTGTTAACGATGGCCGGATATCTAGCCGTTCCAGCTTATAGACGAGGTATATATGGGTGACTTCATCAAACGCTTCTGATAAGTCAATGTATATGACACTAACCTTTCTCTTGCGACAAAGATTGCCTGTCCACCTGCCCACTGCAGTCATCAGGCTGATTATGCAAGAATGACACTTCTTGGGACCATGCTGATCGGGTTAAAAGAAGTTTGCGGACATTAAGTAGTCATGTAGATCATCGCATATTAAGTGCAACGTAAGTTTTAGGGTATTAGGAGAAGTGATAACGGTCGGTAACTTGCAGGTTCTCTGCGTCAGCCTCCCTTGAAAATCGGCGTAGTGTGAGTCAGCCTCTAATTGTCTAGCATCGTGGCGTGATTTGGCGAATGCAACGACATCCCACAAAGCTGTGTTAAAATTGAAGCCACTCCTCCTAATATAGAACAATGAATCATTCCAGGGCCATTTGAGGTGTCGCTGTTTAGACGTATCAGTATTTGGCACATTAAGTCAGAGATCAAGATCATTCCTAAGGCTCCTGTTGCGTTGGAGGTGACGCTCTCGTCGATGTAATTTGTAGCGGTTGGAATGTTTAAAAATACTGCTCTGTGAGGAGCTCAAATGTATCAACATTTTTGTTGATCAGGCCACTAGGACCTAACGACTGTAATATTTTGGATTCGGCTTGTCGAAGAGAGGGTGCACGCCACAGTAAGCTTTTGGGATCAGAGACACATTTAACGTTTGGCTTGACCTGACACTGAGGCCTGTCTTTACCTATCGCCTCTAAAGGTCAGTTTCTTGCCTGTTTGAACTGCCTGTACGCGCTGTTGTTATTAGTTCGGTTGTATTTTACCCAGTAGTAGATTTTGGGTCTTAGCATTTGAAGATTGTGATTCTTCATGACTGCATGTTGCTTGTGACTTTTAGAGAACACTAATGAGACGGGCTGGTTCTAGTTTCGTAGAACCGTGCTCAGTAAAAATCTCAATGGGTATTCGCCCTAAGTTGAGAGAGAACTTCCCGTTCCAACTGCCGTAGATTTTCCTGTTAGGCTGACACGTCCAAACGTTTGAACTTCAAGCGCCTGCCGTTGGTGAGATGTTTCAGTACAGTTTTGTTGGCAAGATTGAAGGCTATGGAAGTGTAATTGCTCGTTCGCCCGAGAGCCAGTATTAAGAGGTTGCCAATCAGAGATTTGTCGTTGATGGAGACGCAGTTTAAGCATGAAGGCATCCGACTGTTTCTCCACAGAGTTACCAATTCCACTTCTTCGAATAATCAAAAATCTTCGATGAAGTTGGAAAAATGACCTTTAGTAGAGTTGTCACCTTCAATGAACGTGTGTACAATGAAGTTGGCTTCAGAAAGATTAAAGTTTCCTAATTTCGGGGTGTGAGTGTGCCCATGACGAATAGAGCCGGATAACGCCTGAAGTATACGATTATCGCGCTCATTGCCAGTGCTGGCTTCTCTGTAAATGTCCACAACTAGATATCTCAAGGTGTTGGACAATCTCGCTGAGCATCAAAATTGAAAAATGCTTGAGTGTATACTTGATGTGCTACCAGGCGAAATCGTAAGTACATAGTCATTACTCCCCATTGGTGAGTTGGCATGGACCTTCGCAACAAGAGGCTTAACATTTATCCTCAAACAATTTAAATTTAAGGGTTTTCCATCATTGTTCCATTCCTTGGCGCCACACATAATCAGTCAATCCTGAACATTTGATGGCCGTGGAACCACTTCGTAGGAGTGTCGTGTGTGCTACTTATATCGACATAAGTAGTATATGATGTTAGTCAGGAACAGAAGGTCTAGAAGCAGAGAGACAAGAGGATCGAACAGTAAGGAATGTGAGCAGAATGCAATTTGTGTGAAAATGCAAGAACAATGAAGTCTGAGTCATTTTGAGACAACTGGTGGATATTTTGCAAATTAAGCATTTACTTTATGATTGTTAGATTTTATTAACAAGTCCTGTAATTTTGTGTTAAGTACATTCGATTGTCCCCACTGGTGTTCTTATCCATTACTGGAGTTGTAACCTAATTCAGTTATGAAGTTCTGAAATCTCTGGCCACCAGTATTTGGTTGAACCCTATGAGTGGTAACTTTAATATAATCTGTAACATTTTATCTTTTTGGTGTTAGAACCTATGGAGGGCCACAATATTCCACCGAGCACATTGAAGCAACACCAGCTTTCGTATGGCTGTGTATGTATATTCTCACACCAACTCCACGTTGTGTACCCACGGGTGGTATTAGTTCTCAATGAGCGAACGGATAGTGCCTGTTGGGAAAGTTTAGATAAAAAGGATTGTCTGAAGGACCACTGGAAGAAAATTCGTTGACTAACGACCTCTCGCACGCTTGACAACATTTATATTGTGAGCCGTGTTGCAATTTGGTATTAAGGAAGGGCTAGTCTAACCTTAGTCAGTCGGTTGGTTTGTAGTGGTATTGGTTTTCAACCACACAATTTAACGTTTGTGACTTAGAGAAGGTCGGAAATGGTGAATGCGGAACACTTAACCATTGTGGCATGACACAAACGTATGGGTGTGGTCGCCCTATGTAACCCTCCGCTTTTCATTTTGAATGTATTATTCTCTTGGTGATCCAGATATATTCTTCGGAAGTCCTAAGCGGTAACCACTGACCGTCACAATAGAACGAGTCGTTGTCCATAATGAAGTGGCTACTACGTAAGGTTTGATAACTTAGACAGTGACATCATTGCAGATTCACAATCGATGAACACGTCTTTTATTCTAGCAGAAATGATAAATGCACTTAATACCGACCCGAACCACAGTCAGACAACCCCATCGTATCGGAAAAGTATAATGTACTTCAATCTAACTTCCCTATCCTTGATGCTGTGCGATATCCATATTTCAGTTAGCAGTTTTCAGATATAACTGAAAGAACATGTTTCTGATTTCCCATTGTTTGTCGCATAGTTTTCTTACCTCGCTAGAACAGTTTGGGTGTATTCATAAGCAATAGAGATAAAACCCAAGGACAGAAAAATAATACCACAAAGTGTGGAAAATATATGAATAATATTACGTCGTAGAACAGACTCAGTTTATAGTTTGGCGTATCAGTACACGTCAAGTTCACTACTAAAGATGCCATGTAAATTGACAACACTCTTGTCCGTAACATCTTGATAGTCTAGAGATTCCAAACATAGTCAGAACATAAGTTAGAAAAGCAGGAGTTCAAGGATAACATTTAAGAGATATTCGATATGACGAGAAGTGTTTTATCTAACCTAGTTAGCTGTTGCGAGCAGTACGTAGCAGCAGGTACTCAACTGTGATCTGAAGATCGGCATCAACGTTGAAGACTTAATGAACTATTTATTTTAGGGTTATATTTACCGCTACACTGACTAAGATTAAAGCAATCGAGTGACTAGACCAACATCCGTAAGAAATTGCTGAAAACCTGGAACCATGCAAAACAAAAACACGAGAAGAACGTAAAGAAATCAACCACTTTATACAGTCTCGTACCAAGGATATTGGATTTAAGCGGGCTATTCTCATCGAATCTCTACTTCAAGGTTAGAGCGATTAAATCTTATCTTAGTGTGTTTTTGCTTGGTATTTGGGTTATGTATTATACTAAGAATATTCAGAATTTAAAAATTTGCTTTCACTTTTTATATGACTGACTTCAAAAGTTATATTTACTGAAACCCAATCAACGAATAATGGGGGAATGATTTCGAACAAAGGGGAAAATGCGTTGGAAAACAAAAGGGGAAATAATGGGGAAACGCGCCAAAATGTCTGCTTTTTCGTCTGCCTGAGGGAATTAATGTGGATATTCCCCTTTACGTCCCTCTGTTTCAAATGTCGCTGAATTGTCTACTTTTCGCCTAAACATGCACCGATTTATCTTATTTTGCTTCCACTTTCAAAAAACTTTTGGCATAACCCCGAACGTCTCTTGTGTTCGTCTTTATTTCCACAACACCACACGAAAACTGCCATCCACGTAAAAAATGGTATATGTTTAAATAAATTTATTGAAAAGAAAAAAAAACGTAATATTGTACAACATTATGAGTGGTCGGCAGATGCTAGAGTATCAGTCGTCATGCACTTTAATTGTAACTGCCAAGTCTTATTGTAATTTGAAAAGATCTACAAAAAGGACAGTTGATGTATTATTAGTTAGACACGTGTACTTAATTGCAAGTACATTTAAAATCAAACAGGCTTTCTCAACACTTAGTCAAAGAGTTTCTCATGCAAGTAAGAAAGCAAGCGCATGTTTAAAAAAACGTTTATTGAAAACGAAGTTGAACATGATAAATATTCCACTGGTTATTTCCTTTCGTAACGCCTACTCGACTATTGAGAATCAAAATAATCTTTTTGTGAATTCCGAAATATAAGGAATAAAAAGTTACAACGATATCTAGATGACATTTTTTTGCATACCTAGCTACTTGAAGCTTCGTTTATGGTTATGTCCGTTAACACTGAAGACTGTACCTATAGAGCAGCAGAGAATAGTTATCACTTTAAGTTAGTACATACATGTTCTTGATCTATTCAATGACGCTTTTGTAATTTGTCTCTCACGTCGTAAAAGTAACCTTGCGTTGCACTGTCATACAGTTTCGCAAGGTCTTTTTGGTTGACAAATGACAGGAACCGATTAGTTAATGCACCTAAAGTTTAAAGGAAACGTATCCTACTTCGTATGGAGCCGTAAAACCTGCACTTCTGATATCATTGTAACTTTTTGTTCCTTATATTTCGGAATTCACAAAAAGATTATTTTGATTCTCAATAGTCGAGTAGGCGTTACGAAAGGAAATAACCAGTGGAATATTTATCATGTTCAACTTCGTTTTCAATAAACGTTTTTTTAAACATGCGCTTGCTTTCTTACTTGCATGAGAAACTCTTTGACTAAGTGTTGAGAAAGCCTGTTTGATTTTAAATGTACTTGCAATTAAGTACACGTGTCTAACTAATAATACATCAACTGTCCTTTTTGTAGATCTTTTCAAATTACAATAAGACTTGGCAGTTACAATTAAAGTGCATGACGACTGATACTCTAGCATCTGCCGACCACTCATAATGTTGTACAATATTACGTTTTTTTTTCTTTTCAATAAATTTATTTAAACATATACCATTTTTTACGTGGATGGCAGTTTTCGTGTGGTGTTGTGGAAATAAAGACGAACACAAGAGACGTTCGGGGTTATGCCAAAAGTTTTTTGAAAGTGGAAGCAAAATAAGATAAATCGGTGCATGTTTAGGCGAAAAGTAGACAATTCAGCGTATATTTAGGAGAAGAGGAGACAATTCAGCGACATTTGAAACAGAGGGACGTAAAGGGGAATATCCACATTAATTCCCTCAGGCAGACGAAAAAGCAGACATTTTGGCGCGTTTCCCCATTATTTCCCCTTTTGTTTTCCAACGTATTTTCCCCTTTATTTCCACTTTTTTCATCATCATTTCCCATTTATTGGTTGATTGGATCATAATTCCATACTCGTCACCTACGACAGAATTTTCTGTTGAGGAGCCGTATATTCTTGAGTTCCAGCTCAAGCTGTTTGTTGTTTTTAAGGATACTGAGTTCTTCATCATCATTGGTTAGTAAGATTTAGTGTGTAATGTATCTCATCCACAATTTCGGAACTCAGAAGCAAGAAATTTCCGAAAAGTAGGAGTTAATTAGGGTCACATTCCTTATTATTTAAATAAAAGTGGTAAAAGCGGCAAGCGCCAGGCAAAAACCGTCTGATAGCTTTAAAAACAACTCTTCATGAAAGTGTATCTCGATAATCAACTGGAGTTTTGCACATATTCGAGAGCTAATATTTCCACTCGATTAACCTAGAAAAAATAGTTGAAACGGGATTCAAACTTCTGATAGGATGCTGGCAAATCAGTTTGATCAGCCACTAAGCCACGCCCATCGACCTGAAACTACACTTTAAAGGAGGACATCAGCTTTTCATATGTTCCAAATATCCATCATTAGTTATCGCATATAAGGTGAATGTAACATCTTGCTTGTAAGACCACGTGTATGGTATTCATCATTATGATATTGCTAATAATTCTTTTTTAATAATTCAAACTATTTGGTTCCTATGTTAGTATTGTTTCATCTACACGTGTTCTGGCTTTTAGAATAGCTTTATACCAATATGCCTCTTCCACCAGCCCTTCTTGCTCGACTTAAAAAACGTGGTATTGTTTCCGCCGGTCCACAGGAAGAAGGTAGGTTTAATTATAGCCACTGACTGGAATTTAGCTGTGGAGGAAGTTTTTGCTGAGAATTATGATGAAGAAAGTGAACCAGTGTTACCAGTATCGTTTGATCAGCCTTTTAACGTTAAGAAATGTTACACAGTCAGTCCTGTACCTATTATCGAGAATGGGGTTTTAATCCATGAATGTGCTGAGTGCCCTAGTCAAGCTAATCCGTATCATGTTTGTTCACCATATTGTTATGAACGATACGGGCGAAGAAAGTTCAACCCTGATCTAACAAACATTCGTTTGAAAAGCAGAATGCTACGTCGTTACCCACTCCCAAGCCATTGGATTGAAGTTGGTGATCCAGTGACTGGAAGGTAAGTCCAACATTTATTATCTGGTTTGTTATTACTTTACCATGACGAAATTAATCCTTAACACTGGTCTTAAAATGTACCGGCTGTAAGACTTGAAAATTCTGATTTCCATCCTATGGGTGGTCAAGATTAAGCATTGCCAGAGGGTCGCGGTCTAGGACAGACAGAACTTTATTGCTTCATGATTTTCGATAGTCTTTCAGCCAATATGCTTTCACAATGATAAACCTTCCATTATTGAAATAATTAAGCGTTTTTGATATGATTCTTTGATGGATAGATATTATTATTGTTAAACTTGAGACATTTCTATTATGCTTATTACAATGCTATGTATCACGTAATTTTGGTGATTTATACTGGTCTGTAATTGAAAATTCTAATGTTGTTAGGTTTTTAGAGGAGACATTTCATTTAATAGACTTCAATTAAGTTAACATGTAATGGACTGAACTAACCCTTATACCAATCTTTAGTTTCGCATGGTTTACGCTAGCAACATTGACGTAACAATATAGTTAGAAAGGTTTAAAAAAATAAGTTTACAACTAGAAACGAGCTCTCCTTAACGCTAATAATTCTTTAAGAATTTCATAAGTGTAAGCGTTGACAAAAACTTACCTAAACTAATGTAATTTATTTTTATTGATAATTAAAATAACCCATAGTGTCATTGATTAATCTGTAATTCTCTTTTTTTTCCATCATCAGGTAATATTGTCCTTGATGTATGACGATGTATTTTTCTCTTTTACAGATTTTATTACTGGAATACTAAAACAGATGATGTATGCTGGTTGTCTCCGTTACATCCGCGTGCTAAAATCAGTCAACCTGGTAATATTGTTCGGGCCAATACGTTACGTGAACGTGACGCAGCTCGAGCTGCGGCTGAAGCTGCTACTGCTGCAGTTTTAGCAGCAGAACGAAAAGATTCACGGCGTAGATCTAGTGATTCCGGCAGTAATCGATCAGGCAGCGAAAGTGAAGATAATGATTCTGATGAAATAAAAGAATCTAAACGATCTAGACGTGAAACATCTAGATCTCCTGAACATGATACTAATAGAGCCTTGTTTAGACGAAATAATTCATCTCGCTGGCAGGATGCTGAATCAGAAAATAATCACCAGAGAAGTGTATCCAATGATTATAATGATTTCAACCAATCAACTAACGAACATGAGGCTGTAACAGAAAAACTATCTGATACAGCTAATTTTAACGACTACAATCAATTAGAGGATGAAGTTGATGAAGATGAAGAATCACCCGATGGAGTTCCTTTAACTGAAAATTATTATAACAACAGTCATAACCAAAATATTGAAATGGAATCTAACTTACAAAACTCTAGAGATGAGTATCCACCACCTCCTACATTTCCTCCTCCTCCCCCTCCCCCACCACCACCAGCTCATCTAATCTATCCTCCAACCCAATGGAACCGACCATCTGAATCATCTTTATTGTTTCCATCACAAGTTAAAAATCACTCTGATGATCACGCTAGTGGTACTACTACACGCGGTTGGAATCAACCAGCAGAGACATCTGATAATAATCGTTTTAGATATAGAGATAGGGATAGGAAACGTAAGTGGATTTGTACAATATTTTTAGAAGTATTTCATTATTATTATTACCTCCATGAAGTAGACTCGGCGTTATTATTTAAATAGTAACAGTTATCCAGTATTTTTTAAATAAAGATCACAGGGTTTGTTACAAGCATGCGTAGATTCTAGTTACCATGCTTCGTTCTAACACGTTACAAGAAAATCAACAAGACAAAGTAGCAGCTCAGAAATACCAGATATCATAACATTAGTTGGTGAAATACAACCGGCAAAAACAAGTAAATCTACAGAACAATAATATCGAATAACACAATGCTTAAGATGAAATACAAATAAATAACAGTGAAAATTTCCATTTGGACATTTATTAGAGAGCGAAAAAGCATTCCTTTTTGATTAGTTTTTCTTCAAGGCTCTACACTAATATGTATTTATTGTTGTAACCTTAGAAAAAAACAAGATGAGTTCAAGGCGTTACTTGAGTATGTTGACCTTACAGAGTTATTAATATTGGAGCAAGCAAAGAGTACTGGCTATATATGAGATTGTAAACCTTTGCCGACTAACGTGATTCGAATGTGTTACAAATCCTTAGCAATTTGCGACATTGACGTCTTATACCGGTTTTGTGTAGGTGGAACTTGAAGGCAATTAGCTGAGCTCACGGAAAGATGGGTAGATAGTCAAACATATACGACTTGTAATGTGTATTTTTCCTATCACGTGTATTTTTCATAATAATATGTGTTAGCCAGGCTGATAACATGTTCTTAGTCTGAGCTGAGTGGACGTGCGGTAGATTAATCTCTGGGTACGTTTTATAGTATTGCATGCCAATCCTATATATTACAGTATCGTTGTTATTCGTCCTAGGAAGTCAAGCGTCCCATTAGTGTTCAGAGGGGGGGTGTAACAATAGTTCATCTGACTAACATAGAAGTTGAGAAGCTAGTGATGGCCAGGCCGGAACGTATAATCAACCTATAGTCACTGATTGTTGATCTAATTCGTGTAGGGTGCAAATTTCCTGACTGAGGTTTTCGAACTAGTCTTAATCTACAGTTTGAGATTCTAAGTAGATCTTCCTAATCGGTCAAAGTAGCACTAGAACTATTTTCTATCTTTGGACTGCATCGACAATATAGTTTTTAATTCATTGCCTTGATAATTTTTACTGCCTTTGCTTGTGTATAGCAATCCCTATTTGAGGTACATATACACATTTAAAACATTAAGGTTTAGTGTAATAGCTTATTCTTTATTAATTTAAATGTATTCACTAATATTTATAATTTAGTTCGGATTTTCTTACCGAGTTGCAGTCTTCAATCCATGCAGTTTGACTAAAGTTTTCGTTATAAAATGTCTAATCGAAACTGTAGATCGTCACTACTTTAGCGCAGAAGTGTCGAGATAGGATACTAACAGACCTCGTTTTCTGTCATATTTAATTACTTTTTCTTATGCTTCCTTGAAGGTCGCGCAGCAACTCTCGGACCCTTAGACCCAATGGATCCAGCGTCTTATGGTGATATACCACGTGGAACATGGAGTTCAGGCTTAGAAGGGGTTACTGGAGCACCATCGGCTAAGACAGGTGTAGATAGCACTGCATCGGGACCATTATTTCAACAACGTCCATACCCTAATCCTGGTGATGTTTTACGTGCAAATGCTGCAGCTAAAGTCCATGAAGAGGAAAGGCAAGATGAATCTAATAACTGAAGTTTTACTTCTGAAGTTGTTCTGTACACTCATTGTTTACTTTTCAACAGAATTTCAATTTATTAAAAAAAACCATTAAATAGTTTGATGTCTTCGAAAGATACTTTCTCCATCGATGAATTATAAAAAAAGTCATACTTAAATAGTTATTCATGAGCGAAAAACATCAGAAAGAACAATTGTTTCTAATGACTTCCTCATTAAGTTTTAGTTATCAAGTCCAAATATATCGTTATTACTTTATTACTCAGGCCTGTTATCCCACCTGGAGGAGTATAGGTCGCCCACTAGCATCCTCTATCGAACTCTGCTTTGGACAATTATTTCCAGTTGCTATTCATCCTTCTCATTATTTTTTTCTGGTTAGCGTTTCTTTAGAGTTAGTTTTCTACAGGATGTTGTCGCTAACCCTATGCCCAACCCTACTCCTTTACTCGGGCTTGGGACCGGCAGTAACTCTAGAAGAGCTACAGGCGGAGTTTCATGCCTACTTCCGATTCCTGACGTAATGTGTTCTTCCGTCTTCCTGTTTTCCGTTTCCCTTCAGGATTCCAAGCTAAAGCTTGCCTCGTGATACAGCTTGGTGATTTCAATAATGTATGTCCTATCCACTTCCAACGTCTTCTCCTAATTTTCTCTTCAGCTGGCAGCTGATTTGTTCTCTCTAACATTAGGCTGTTGCTGATAGTTTCCAGCCAACGGACACTGAGTATCTTTCGTAGACAATTTTTTATAACTACTTGTACCATTTTGATGATGGTTGTATTAGTTCTCCACACGACTATGCAGAGTAGTGCATCTTATTAATTATGTATGACGATGACGACTTTCTCAAGTACTCCGTGGTGTCAAAGAAGTTTCATAATGTTCTATCCACACTGTCAGACGCCTCGTAGTTAAAGAAGTTGATGTATAATCATAAGTTCCATCCAAATGATTGTTCGACGATCATACCTAATGTCGCGATTTAGTCTGTGCACAACCGATCCTCACGGAATTTAGCCTACTGATCTCGAAGCTGGACGTCAACTGAATCTTTCATCTGGTTCAGCAACACTGTTGGACACTTCCTGGTACCGATAATAGTGTGTTGCCTCTGTAATTGAGTTCTCACACTTACTCAGATCTCCTTTCTTTGGTATGTTGGTGAAGTGTCCTTCTTTCCAGTCTGTCGGCACTTGTTCTTCCACCAAAATCTTCCTGAATGGAATGTGGGGCATGTCTGCGGTTACTTCTGTGTCTGACCTCAGCGCTTCATCTGGTATATTGTCAGGTTCTGCTGCCTTCCCACTCTTCATTTGTCTGATGACCATCCTGATCTCTCCGATCGTTGATGCAGTGATATCTATAAGAAGCTCTGTAGGTGCTACTTCGATATCCGGTGGATTCGACGGAGCTGGTCTATTTGAGGGTTACTCGAAGTGTCCCACTCATCTGTTCCTTTGTTCTTGAATCTCAGTGATTAGCTTGCCTTCTTTGTCCTGGAGCAGTCAGACAGTCAGTCAGTAACAACGTAGAACTTCGTACATACGTACATCAGTTCGAGTTGCCACACCACATTAGCACAGAGATGCAGTTGTCGATTCAAATCCCCTAGTGGTAGAGGAAGTAAGAGTATAAGCAGTAATCGGAAAGATTAGAGTTTGAAGATGTTATTCAAGGAGTATAATCCAGTGAAATAAATGTGGAAAGAGAAAACAAGAAAGGGACATGAAGAATTCAGAAGATTAGAATTTTGGAGAACACAAAGAGTGGGTGTCATTGTGAACGATTTTGGGCCATGTCATTCAAGGTCCCTAACCATCGGTTGCTATCATCTCGCGGTCCCCAACCAGGTAATCTACACCTACCACCATGACTCAATCCACTTGTCAGTGACTTCATTGACTTGTGCCATGTTTTGGTCTGATCGCCCCTAGCTTTCTTCCAATCTACTCCTATACAACAAACATCGCACATCGAGGCAGTCGGTGGTTGGGCATACGTAACACGTGTCCCAGCCATCTCAACTGATGAAGTTTACCACGTCATCAATTGATTTGCCATCCTTACCTAGTACCCGTTTCCTAACAACTGCGTTACTTACTCGATGCCTGGACCGGTTTATCTGGTTTACTATATTTCCCTGCCAGTTTATTCGTTGTATCATATAGCTGTTTCACATTTCCTTCTGTCGCAGCTTTTTCCACTGTCGCTGCTGGGTATTCCACGTATTTCTGCTTCTCAGCTCTAGTGAAGCCCTTCATTTGCTTGTTTGTTTCTGTGTATTCAGCTTGTGCCTTGACTTTGCCCGTTCTTGTTCGGCTGTTGTTAATTGCTGTCTTCCTGTTGTATTTGGTCGTCGCAATTGTTGTGCCGGAAAAGCGCTGATCACTTATACTCGGAACGAGGGATCCCTGGGATTCTCACGGCGTGAAGTAAGAACGCAAGACTGGTATAAGTGATGATTTATAAGCCCCAAAACACGACAACGACGATGATCAAAATAGTCTAAAATACACTGGTTTATATATTGATTGTACACCCATTTTGATTAATAATTAGGATTAAATCACATACTCAGTTATAATACATCACTTACTGAGCATAGTTCATTTCAATTGAATACAAGAATATCACATATTATACAGAAGAAAATATCATACTGGGAAAACAAATCAAATACTACACTGAATGATCCTCACGTTGAATCAAAAATGGATGTCAATGTTGAATAAAACTCATAATGAGTAAATCAATGGAAAATTGATTTTTCTTTCCATTATATCATAATTATACAATAAAAATATACGTTTAGTATTGACCCATAAAAGGATCCCAAAATTACCATTCATTATGTTTCTCAGGTCCTCACACTTCCTCTCTTGAATCGTGTCTAGGGTTTCCATAGAAATTCATTCCTTATGATAGTGCTTCTTGCGGCTCAGAACCTCCTGACACATTGAAGCTGGTGCTTCTTTGATCTCTTTCTAGTTGTCCTTCATAGTAGTTTCTTCTTCCTTGAGTAGATCTTGTAAGGCTTGGAACCTGTTGTTGAGAGCTATCTTGAATTCACCGAGTTTTTCAGCATCTCGAAGGAGGGCTATATAGAACCTCTGTAATGTTGTTTACCCAGCTGTCCAGTGTTTCTCAACTTCATTTTCATCTTGGTAACCATGAGGTTGTGATCTGAAACTATGTCAGTCCCTCCCTTAGTTCTCACTTGTTCCATTAACCTTCTGAATTTTCTAGTGATGCAAATATGATTTATCTGGTTCTCGGTAGTGTGGTTCAATAAGACTTATGTAGATTTGTGTATGCGTTTGTGTGGGAATATTGTGCCGCCTATAACTAAATCGTTGAATGCACATAAATTTGTGAATCTCTCGCCATTCTCGTACGTTTCTCGCGGTCAGTCCATATCGGCTCGTGATATCTTCATAGTCGGTATTGCCCATTCCGAATTTGATTTTAGGTCTCTCATCAGGATGGTCAGGCCCTTTCATCGGCACTTCTCTACGATCGACTGGAGCTTCTAATAAAATTGATCTTTATCACTTTAATTGCTATCGTTGACGGGTGCATAACACTGCATAAAATTCATAGTGATTCCATCCTTCTTTGTTTTAAAGAATGCTTTTATGATCTTCGATCCACGAGATTCCCATCCTATGAGTGCTTTTTGTGCTCCCTTGGATAGCATCAGAGTGACTCTCTGTATGTGTTAAGCCCTTTTTTTCATGACAAGAGTACAACAAAATCTCTCGAATCTAATATTTGCTGTCCAGCCTGGGTTTCACTGAGTCCGAGAACCGCCAAGTTGAATCTGCTCATTTCCGTTGCTATTTGACTGGTCCTTTCAGTCTCCTACATTGCTTGGAGATTCCATATACCGATACTAAATGCTTCTGTAGTTGTTTGGACGGGTGTCAGCCTCATGATTTCCGAAGAATTTTGGCTTTCATCGTGAGGCGTCATAATTCTTTTAAATGAAGACCCTTCGATCCCCAGGCTAGAGTACAGATGGTTTAATTAGTTTTTTTCTGGCTAACGCTTCCTAGGCAATGCTGTTTTCTACGGGTTGTGAACCCCAACCCTTCTCCTTTTACCCGGGCTTGGGACCGGCAGTAACCCTAGAAGATCTACAGCCAGAGTTTATATCATTATTACAATGGGCAAAATGTTCAATTTGAATCATTTCCGTGTGAATTTTGTTAGTCATTGGTTTGAATAGTCAGATATTATTGTCTAATATAAGAAACTTTTGATTTCGGACTCCAATGAAATAAAATTTTATTGCTCTAAATATTAAATAAAGACTACTAATTCAACATCCATAATCAAGATAAAGCTATATAACTCAATTTTACAATGAACTACATTTCTTATTCAACTACTAAAAGCCTAAAACATTAAGGATACAGATAGTTCATTTGTGATTTATCTGTTCAAGAAAATTAAACTTAGTTTAAAACAATTAGTCCCTTTGATAAATTTCGATAATGATATTAGAAGACGAAGCTTATCAGAACTATGTGATATATTAGAGCAATACATTTCGAACAATCTGGTCACACATATACTTGTTAAGAGCATTTATATATAAAAATAAAAGGTCAACTAGACAGGAAATGCCCTTAACAAGTATATGTGTGACCAGATTGTTCGAAATGTATTAAACTTAGTTTGCTTCTTATAAATGCCGTACTATAGACATACCTATTTTCCATTGAAAATGTTGACTTCTGCTCATGACTTACTTCACTACCACCAACGTTAATTAAATGAGACTATATTATGCGAGAATATATATTATGTGTATGTATTTTTATCATTTTAAAAGAACACTGATAAACAAGAAAGTGTTTACATAAAATGAAAATTAAGGAAAGTAATTAACATTCTACAATGCATATATGTATATTTGCAATTACTCTGAGGCACTATATAATATACGTGAAAAAGATGAATAAAATGAAATCAAAACAGGATACATCATGATAATAAGGAGAGATTAATTACGAAAATGAAAAAATACAAACAAAAGCTCAGCTATTTGTACATGCATACATGTTTGTTTTGTTTTTCAATGTAAGAATACCGCCTAGTATATATGGCTTACAATTCTCAATTAAACAATCAAATTGGATAGATAATTGTGCGAATAATGACCACATAACAAATTTCAACTAGTTATATGAGGTAATAATTAAATTAAATCGACAATTGGAGTAACATTAATAATAATAAAAGCCTAATCCAATTTAAATAAAATATAAATTGAGAATTAAAAAGAGACGTTTACAATATACTCCGTTTTTTTTTGTGTGGATACATAGATGATTCAAACAATGACCATACACAATTGAGGAAATAACCTAGAAAGAAGTAGCATCCACACTACTAAACGTATAATAATGAGGTAATCTAAACAAATGACAGAAGGTACTAAGCCCATCATCATTCATTTATCCTACTGAACAATGTGTGTTATTTTTAAGTATTATGTTCCATATTTATATAAATAGATAAATAAACAAGCAAAAAAACAAAAACAAAGAAAACTAATAAATAAATGGAATGTAATAATACGTTTTAACAGATGTAAAACATAAAAGAAGTGATATTCCAAGAATTAGACACATTCACTGAATGTGAAAAAATGAAATGTGTAATTAATTCATTCATTTTAAAGATTTCAAAAGTATTAGAAGCCAATCCAAACAAAATAGAGAAGAAAAAATAAACAAACAAACAAATAGATAATTACAAATTTCAATTTGGTGATAGAATGGTATTATAATGTGAAATAGTATAAGTTGATCAAATGTTCAATATTTTTACGACAGCTGTGTTTATCCAAATAACGTGTACACAAAGATCAAACGAGTGCATAGTCCCAACAGTTAAACAGCTTTATACAATTTGATACCTTGAAAAATGTAATGAAAGGAAAATTATGAATGATAAATTAGTGATTATGAACATAATTGATCTCTATTTCTGATCAATATTTATCTTTGTACAAATATATTATTATTCTACTTAAATTTCAATTTTGTGTACATCATGTGGATATAACCCAATGTATCGAAGAATAAGTGTTCTCAGAATGCGTTAAACTCAAACTCATTCAAACTGTAGTAACGAAATAATTTAGCAATAATAAGGTATACAGAAAATATCAATCGAAATTACTGGGTCTCAAATAAATAATAACGATGATCACAGGATCTAGCATGATAATAAATGGATATTGGCGAGACTCTAATTTAGGGACGAGTCAATCAGAAGACAGTGTAAAGTAAAAATATATTATAAGAAAGTAATGAATTACAGTGGATATTCTTCTTTTACATGATTTAAAAACTTGTTGAGGTTTGATAAAGGTTCAAAGGTTCTGAATTCATAATACATACGGTACAGAAACCCGTCCATTGGGTTAGGGTTGTAGCCTCTCAATAAACACCGCTGCTCTAAAATCCGCTGTAAACCGATCGTATGTTAGCATCACGTGTTGAACTTTGGCTCCGTGACCTTGAAATTGCTCAAACGCTTATTTTTGGCTCGTCCCTAAATTAGAATCTCGCCACCCTAACCCTATGGACGAGTTTCTATAACGTATGCATTATGAATTCAGAACCTCAAGTAAAAGAAGAATATCCACTGTAATTCATTACTTTCTTATAATATATTTTTACTTTATACTAACTGTCTTCTGATTGGCTAATAATTGTCAAGGTCATTTAAGATTCGTTCAAACGTCGTCCCTAAATTAGAGTCTTGCCAGTTTTATTTTGGAAACCAAACGACAAGCATAATTACTAGACGCGTAATAACTGTCTTCGATTATCTCACTTAACTATTACAAACTCATGTAGGTTTTCATTGAGGTCTTTTTTGAAGTGATGCAATTTGTGAAATGTAAAAGTTCATACATCTTTCATACTCACCATTGAAAATGCAAATAATAATAGTTTATATTACAGTAATGGAGTAGGGGGTGAGCAATAAAGATATTTTCAATCAAATATAATGATAATTACATAAATTAGAAAGTTACATGTCTATACCTTTTAAAAGTAAGGAACTTTTCACTATTATATTGTAATGGTGTTCAAACACATGTACTTCAGTTTAGAATATTGGATAGCATAGTCAATCTAATCATTAGCTTTTAAAAACAAGGAATATTGTCAAGTAGCTGAGTACATAAATTCAATCTTATTAGTTGAGTTTGCTTTCAAAGATTTTAATCGATTCTGACTAGCAAATAAAAATTAACTTCTAATAGTCTTAAACATAGAATAAAATAACTCTTCAGCATTTTTGAGTATTCAATAATCTCCTAGTTAGTGTCAATCTGTCAGTCAACGTAGAGCATGGCATAATTGTCACAACACATCAGCATAGACAAATAATATTATCAGGATGAATACCAAAGTCGTAGAGATAATGGTTATATCAGTGTTAGTGAGAAAAATCAGGGAAATAGAAGTTAAAATTTGAGAAAGAATGAACAGAAGACAGCATAACCTTAAAACGTATGATGTAATAAAAGAAAATAGAGTGTGTATCTGTGATCGGTTCTGAGCTAAGTTACCCAAACGTCTTCAGTTATTTGATCAAGATGAGCTTGTGACCCTCAATCAGGTTTTCTACACCTAGTAACACGGTTCAGTCCAATGGTCAATGATTGAATAGAATAATGTCGCGTCTTGGTTTGTTTGCCACTAGCTCGGCTACAATCTCCTTCTACAACTGGGAATATCGCGTGTCAAGATAGGTGGCGGTTGAGTAGATGTAGCACAGATATCATTTCGTGATGAAAACTTGATATGGAGAGCGATGACCTAGCCGCTTGAACCGCGAATGACCTATGAATCTGAGTTTTCTCAATCATTAATGACGCGTGATCACATCCTGAGTTATACTTACACAACATAGTTAATGCATTATAGGTGTTAGCTACATATGCTTAATTGTATGATTTGGTAAATAGGTATTCACACAGTAAGTTAATGAGCAATTGATGTTAAATACTATTTACTTCAACTTGTAAAAGTCTAACTGTTAATCTGAATGTAAATAAATCATATGAGGTTAAATAAATTCATACTAGCAGCTTTTGTGTTTCCATGACGATGTAGTGAAGGAGAACACAGGTGAAGACAACCGAATTATATTTAGCACAAGATTAGAGTTACTTGGTAACATAGAAAACCCATACTATAATACCTAATTTGCAAAATGTTCAATAATTGTCTCGGACTTCATTGTTCTTGCATTTCTATACTAATTACTTTCTATTCCCGTTCTTCCTTTCTTGATCTTCCCCCATCTTCTGCTGCCAGAAATTACATTCCTGACACGCGTCACATACTACTTATATCAATATAAGTAGCACGAATCACAACGCTCCATTGAAATCTAGGTTTCAATACCAATCACAAATCACTTAAGAGATTTCATAGACCTAACAAAACTATTCTTCTCAAAATTGGAATAATCTATTTAAAGAAATATTTCCTAACTATCTGGTAAATTTCAGTGACAATAGAAACATCAACAATTATAATGAATAGATTTTAAAAAAAGTATTTACAATCCATAATTTCATTTTTTGCCAATTGAACTTCTTTACGTAGTTCAATAATAATTTCACGACGTAAATTATCCAATTCTGAACGAGTAAGTGATAAATCAGAATTTATAATATTTGATATTGTGGAACAATTAGATGTATTAACATTTCGGCTGAAGAAGAAGAAGAGGAAAAAACAAACATTTGGAAATTATAAATTGACATATTTTCTTTTTTCGGAATGAATTTATTTGTTGATTTCATATAAATTACCATAATCTAATGAAACACACTCAGTGGTCCAGTAGGTTAAGCGTTCGCGCGCAAAACTGGAGGCTCTGGGCTCAAATCCCAGGAGCGGGATCGTGAATGCGCACTGCTGAGGAGTTCCACAATAGGACGAAACGGTCGTCCAGTCCTTCCAGGTTTTCAATGATGGTCTAACATCAATCGGTTCATGATCTCAATCAAAAACATTAAACGTTTTAGTGTACTAAAACAAGCAACGATTAGAGGGAAGTGTTAAATGAATTAAATGAAAATTTCAATGAAATGAATCCCACCCAACATAATGATTGGCCATTTTCATGTTCAGTTTTTAGTATTCATCAAATCCTATCGATGGAATTGCGATGTGATCAATACACCTGTTATATCCTAGTGAAGATGAAATTACGAGTAAATTCTGAGACCTAATAATGGACTAATATTATCGATATATTCTTATGGTATAACTATTTAGTAATTAGATTGTGTATATGTTATACTTATGACCACCAATTAGGGAGCAGTGACTTATCGATCGAACCAGTGAGGCATAAAACCCGTGGGAGCAGTCTAAAGTACTATCGGTCCTGCTTCCTATCTAGCCCAGCCAGTTAAGTTCAGAACACCAATCTCAGCCTCTGCAATATGAATCATTTATTTCAAGCATACCGGGTTTATATATCAACCAGACAGACCACATCGTACCATAAAATATGAAACAACGTTTGAAAAAGAGTTAGCTAAATGTGGCTGTGAATGACGGAGGTAGTAATTAATAGACAGGGCATAGTTCAAGAATGGTAAATCGTATAATAACAGTCCATAGATCAAAATAAAGCTCATTATAAGAGGGACATGAATATGAACAGTTTAGTTATTCAACAATTATACGATACAAATATACGCATAGTATTGGTCCACAAATAGATCCCAAATATTACCACTCATTATTCTTATCGGGACATAACAGTATATTTATATTCCTCTTATTATAAGCTTTATTTTGACTTATAGATTATTATTATATGATTTACTGTTCTTAAATTATACTCAGTTTATTAATTACTGTCCCCCCACGTTCACAGCCACATTTTGGCTTGATTTTGTATAAATGTTATTTCTTATTTTATGGTGCGTTGCGGTCTGTTTGGTTGATATATAAACCCAGTATGTCTGAAATAAATGATTCGCATAGTGGAGGTTGTTATCGGCATTCTAGACTCAGCTGGACGGGCTAGGCTGATCAGACCGAACGAAAGTCATTGGTTTAGAACAGTACAAGAGCGAATAATTCGTATTTTGATTGGCGAGTAGATTACGTGATAACTAGAGGGCCATAAAGTCACAACAAACCCAATAACTACACATTACAATGCATATTTTTATGATTTTAGGCGACTGATGACAAAAGCCAAAATGTCTGGTAACTAGGTAGTGTTCGTCAATACGGTGTATTTTCAATTTTGCGGGAATCTGTTCACCTCTAGGTGTATTTAAATTTGATCATAACAAAGAACTAAACATGAGGATGTTTACTAAACAGTATGTAATTTATGCAACTATCTCAGTACAGGAAGTTTTTTTTTGGTCAGTAAAATTCAGTTATAGATCATCTGATTGCAACACTGGGTGATGAGGAAATAAATAGACACTACCAAGACTGTAATTGATCACTGAGAATTAGGATAAAATCTTACTCGAAGGATTCCAGATGACTTACTTCAATAATTTAACTTCCGTAAATCTACAGTGAATAGTTGTAAAAAACCATTATGCTTTAAATTATTATTTATACAGACATATCCCACAGTATCAATGCACTTTAGCACAATTAAGCTTGATTTCCATTTATGATCACAGTTGTCTAAATGAGACTTAACTTAGAATTCAAATTGGTCGAGTCGGCAGATTTTGTCATCAAAATTTAGTAATGAATTGGTCTAGTACAGTACACAATGCAATAGATATTAGTGTGAAGGAAATCGCTGAAAAAAGTCAGTAGATTATATCCAGTTTTAGTTGTTCTACTTTTGATCAGCAGTATACAACTGTCAACAGTATAATGGACCAATTCTTGATTTCAATACAGGTTAAGACATTGAAAGTAATCCGAACTGTTGTTTATAAAAACTATTCATGGGTAAGGATTATGTAGTCTCTAAACAAAAATATGCTTAAACAGATATTGTCATATTTATTCCAGCCCAGCTGGTGACAACATGATAACATACGAGGAAAATTGATAGTAAGAATAGAAATATTAAGAAGTGATGGAGGGACTTCGTCGTGAACAAGATGATCTCAAATGCTGTTAGAGGTAAGGGGGACGCTTGTCACTTATTGGTTACCCACATCGTAGAAGGATATTTCTTCTTTAAGGACCTGAAAAAGGAACTGGGTTAATGGTGGTATTAGTGACTGCAAAGCCCAAGAGACAACTGCTTAAGGCCAGTCACATCAGGAATTTCTATGAGGAGTTTTTGATGTGTCAGCTTCGTACTTTAAAAGGCCTAAACCAGGGACGAAAATCCATGGAGTAATTTGCAAAGTGACACTTTTGGGAAGTAGCATCGCTATCGATCCTTACTGTCTGAGAAAAACACTTTACTGATGTTACACTCGTGTACAATCAGAAGTACGACTTTTTCGCCACTCTTAGTCTTACTGCTCAAAACAGATCTGTTCGATGTGGAAGGACTTAAATGAACCACTGTTCCAGACAGTATATTTCGATTGTGTCATCATAACAAGGAAGCCAGACCATTACGTCAAGGTAGCAGCTACGGTTAGAACGTTAACTGAAAGCATTATATTATACATAAAACACCATGTTTACTTATGAATATTTTTCAATTTAAAAGATTTAAGCTTGGTGGATAGCATTCGATCTGCACTAAGAACGACCTGATATACATGACAGTGACCACCACCCAATGATCAACCAAGTGTGAATACATCTCAGTCCTACACGAAGTCGGTCGCGGCCAGGATAGCCTAATGGTAACGTCTCTAACTGTAAAGTTGGGTGACATGGAATCAAATCCATCAGGGAGCACAAGTTCTGTCAAGATTACAGATACACCTTGCTGACGAGTACCAAATAGCACGAAACCCTAGTCCGGGGTTTCCTGTTGACTGCCTCCAACCACCATCTTATCTCAACATAGTGCATGCAATGTCGAGTCACTTAGACTAGCGGCCACACTGCAACTTGATCGATAGCATTCGATCTACACTAAGAACGACCTGACATACATGACATTGATCAACACCCAGTGATCAATCAATTGTGAAAAATAACAATTTAAACGTATCAAATATTCAATTCTTTCTGTATAAACTGCATGTAACATATAAATCAACTCTAGACCTAAACTCTAATCAGGAACAATATAAAGACTTCTGAAAAACCTTTTGTATCCTTACAAAGTTTCAAGACGATAAATGTTTTATAAATATATGAAGAAATCTATAAGTTAATATATTTTTTCGATTTACATACGGGGAAAACGCGTAGATCTCAATAGAATAATTATGTAAAATTTTAGAATATTGATGAAAAATGGGGAGAACATTTTCACGATTACTTCAAGAACAGTTAAAACTCGTCTTCCTTACAATATAACTCATACTAAAAAAGTATAAAAATGTTATTTATTGTAATATTGAAAAAAGTTTTAATAACTTACCTATTCAATGATGAATCGATCGAATTAGTCGATATAACACCGGTATTTTCAGAAGGTATGGAGATAGATTTTGATGACTAGAATGTGGATAAAATTAAGGGTTAAGAATTTATATAATTTAGAAGAGAAGATGGACCTTTTTATGGTGAAATGAAAAGAATAGTTTAAGGTTCATATTATTTACTAAACATTTAGATAGATAATGACCAACAGTGTTCAGTAGAGAATAATCGTAAGATAGATTTTCGAAGTTCTAGTCACAAACTAAGATAGATGAAGTCCAAATAAATCTATAATGGGATAGGAATCACTAGTAATGCGAACTACAGAAACCTAACTCGATGATCCTAAAGTAAAATATTCATCCCGAGACTTCAAACTGCTTGATGCTCAAACCTATGTGATATTATGCCTGTCCATTGGCTACAGAGTCTAAAACTTAGACAAAGCCACACTATCTAGTGCTCTTTTATTTTAAGATTTAACATCAGCTGAAAACATTTTACGAAAGACGAAGAAATAGTAGACTAGACACATCCTTGTTTTGATTAAAACAAGAATCTCTGTAAATTTTATAGGAAGTACATTTGTTGTGAAGAGAACAATGGATAAAAGATGATAAAATATGGAAGCTACTTTTTGGGATATTAGTTTACTTAGGTTTTGCCCTGTAATTAATAACATTTGATGACTGTCTTATCACATTAATTATAAGCTTTTGTTAAATTTATAAACTACTGTTATATCTTCATCTATTCGATACTTACGGTAATCTGAACACTGGCTTTGTATTCTATTTTCGTAATCTAAGAGCCTTATTTTCAGACATTGTGTTTTAGTTAAATTTATATATTTGCTTGTATACTCTTTGGAATTAGATATATTTTGGGAATCAAGGGTTTTCCACAGATCCCTTCTCTATTTTCTAGCCAACCAATCAGTGTCCGTGTAGTCAGCGAATAGGATAGTTTTCTGCCCTCAGGGTCAAGTCGTCAGACTAAGGTCATGACAAAAATGAACATGCTAAATAGTAAAATTAAAGAAGGCTAAACCGTCATGAATCAGAAGGACAATTTAAAACCTGATAATTAAATGTTCATCGGTTCCAGTTATCGCAGTCGTAACATCAGTCTATCAAATTACAGGAGATAGATTGAGGAAAACAACAATAATAATGGTAGCTTATTAATCTTAAAATAAAAGAGACAAATTAATTACTTCCAAATGATGGTCTTTTTTAAGCAAACCACATTCTTCTTCAGCAGCATCGATTAATTGTCGTCTAGCTTGTATACGACGTTGAATTTCAGCTAGCATAGAAGATTTTTGATCAATGGAATCTTTTCTTAATTGCTGCGTAGAATCTGTACGTTTTATTGGGTTGGTTTTGTCATTTTTCGGTTGAGTAATTGATGATAATGTCGGTGGCGCTGGAGGTGGTGGTGGAGGCGGGGATTTTGTAGTTGAAATTATCTGACACAAAGAGAAAAATGTATTGAAATATGGCAATCCATAATAATTTGTGTAAACTGTAATGGAAATCAAATCAAAAAGTTGATATCGATTCATGAAACCATTGACTGAGCCACGTAGGGTAGGTATAAACAATTAAAGTTGTGGTCAGCGAATAAAGATTTGAGGTGACATGATTCAAAATTAACCATAATCGAGCAGATGGGTAGACTCTTTATATTACCCTAGACCTTGAGTCTCAGTACTTCTTCAGATATAGTTTCTAGTTCTGTATCTTTTACAAATGTTTAATTTTCACATTATCATTGCTGCTACATTATTTTGACCGCCTTTAGTATTTATATTTTCAAATTCATCTCATCAAAATGATGTGGTATGAATATATGGGTTAACATACACAAGTAACAGACTCTAAGTTGATTGCGAATTGACGGATTGTAAACTGCAATCCATACAGAAAGTGTGTCTACAAAAGTGAAATATGTTTTGCACAATTTAATGTATATCTTTACCCACTCCCCACTATCATTGTAAATATATTTATCAATGAACTTTGGGTGACATTAAATCATAAAGACATTAAGATAATACGAGTTTTGCTTTAAACTTACAAGACAGATTTTAGTCACAGAAAAAATCTAATTCGTCACTATTTAATAGCTGAATTCATGAGTCGATTGAAGCTAGACCATCATGGAAAACCTGGAAGCACTGGACGGCCGGCCCGTTCTAGTATGGGACTCCTCAACATGGCGCATCCACGATCCTTTCCGTGGGATACGAAACCAGGACTTATCAGTCTCGCGCGCAAACGCTTAACCTCTAGACCATTGAGCCGGCATCTAACTGTGTTAATGTCCAACTTCAACTAATCCACAAAACTGAGCGACACATCCACCATTGTCTTCAGTGAGTTACTATCTTACAACAGACCCAGTTGAACTCCATTGGTCACTGCTTCTAATTAGAACTCCAATGTAGCTTTCATTAACACATGATCTCAACCACTGAAATTGCTATAATATTCACAAAAACCCTTCCGATAATGTGTTTTTTCCCCAAATAACTGTATGAAATATTTTTATAGACAAAATACATAGAACTTTCATTCAGATTAAATAATAATTTACCAACTGGAAATTAGTTATTGTTAGATCTACTTTGTAATTGTGGATTTCATATACACATAATTCTAAGTATGTATTTCACGTTTAATGTAGATGAACAGAATAACTACAAATTTAAACTATGTACTTGTTGGATCCTTCATATATTATAAACTATAAAAGAGTAGGCTTAATTCCATAGTTCACAAATATTGTGACAATCATGAATTCTGATATGTACAAAATCTAGAATGGATAAGTTTCTTTCGTAAAAATTTAATCCATTTAAGTATACAGAATCTGCAGTAATAGAATACTGTTTAGGATAAAGTTTCTTTATACTATTTGATTAGGAGATTACAATTAAAATCTGAGTAGTCAGTTAGTTAGCTATCAGCGAAATAGAACCTAGGATATATGTGTATTGGTTCAAACTGTCACATCATATTGGCACAGAATGAGACCACTAGGATAAACGAGCAGATGACCTTGGTCATGAAGTGATATCACCTGTAGAACTATTAAAAACAGTAGGTGTACCATGTAGATGTTTCACTCCAATTTGAAACTTTTCGGGAATCAAAAACCCATGACCTATCTGGCAACCTAACACTGAATTCTAGGGTCTTGCAGAAAGCATATCACTCTTGATAGTTGCTACAGTGTGAAAATACAACTTTCGGAATTATTTTATCAAGGATTAATGTCTGTGCTTTTATTGTGTAATTATAAGACACTTGGATTACTATACAATAATATCATTTTAGTTGAAAGCTTTCGTTTGGCGCATAAACTATTGAACTGTGTCTTACTTTTCACAAGTTGGTGTAAATTGATTGTGGGCTTGTTACTTAGTTTTCTTTCACATACAGTGTAGTTATTTCCATGTATAGTAATTTCTCATTTATTTCGTTGAGGTCAGAAAATTAACTGTATTACCACATTAGTTTGAGTTGTGAGTTTTACCATACAAGTTATCTGTCAGCTGTGTTATTGTTCTATTATGATAATTGGGCAACAGAATGTGGGAAAATGAATCTTGAGAAGAAATAGATGTCACAATTTATTTTAACGTTAACTCATAAATGAATTTCCCAATAGGAGCGTATCACTGGTTAAGTCTGGGATGCTAGGGTATAACCAAAATAGTACACGCGTAATAGAGAAATAATTATAAGATCTTAATTGGTGAAACTTATCAAACGATATCAATGAATATGATTTACAGTTATTACAACATTGATATTGACAGGCATCAGAATTCCTGTAATAGATTGAGATAATTCTAAATAGTCATTAAATGTATACACGACGCTACGAAACATAAGTTAAGAGCACACATACGTAAGTTGACTTAGTTTATCACTTAAAGTATAAGATGAGGATGAATTAATTAGAATCGAGAAAGCGATTTTTCAGATTTTGAATAAAATTCAAATAATACCCATAACAATAAGCAACAATATCTCTGTATACTACTCAAAATGTTCAAAATTATAATGAAAAATTACCGAGAACCACCATAAAGTAAAAATCATTGTGTTAAATATATCAAGTGTTTTATTCTATTTCTGTACATTTTATATAACAGGCAAATCAATACTATCCTTACATCTTATCCCTAAATGCTTATTCCTGATTCATAATCTTAACCTAGTGGTAATATAACTCACAAACAAGAAAGTTAGATAATACCTCTTGGATATTTGAAGTAAATACATTCATCTATTTGAATACAGAGAATTTTTGTATTTCAGCTGATGTCACTTTGTGATAAAAGCCCTATACTATTAGGGTCTTTTTGGGGTTAGGTAAAACATATAATCAATATCCATAAAGAAGACTTTTTCTATCATTCCTTCTCAATATACAGCCAGATCAAACTGTAGAAGACTTATATAAATGTATTGAATACGTAAAATCTGTCTACACGATGTGACATTATTGTTTGCTTTTTCACTAACTATCCATTTATAAAAGATGATTTCTGATTGACTGAGAACTGACCAAACGTTCGTCGCAGTTGATTTAATCTCGTTCCTATATCATACTACTATACGATAGGAATATGAATTGTTTATCAGCTTCTGTGGTTTCCGTAGCAAAAGTATACACCTATAAAAAATTATGAATGAATACATCAAATTAATCAATTTGATCATATATTTTAAGTGATAATAGTTACCGGATTATTGCAAGAAGTTGAATTAATACTTGGTCTTATTGAAGCATTACATCGATTTTCTTTATTACGTTTACGTGCAGCAATAGCTTCTTGTAGCATAGCAGCTAATCCAGATGATTCTGACTGTTTAGCTAACTCTTCGTCATTATTCTGATCATTATTATTATTATTACCCGGTACTGATGTTGTTAACACTGATGATGAATTTGAACTGTTTGTGCTAACAGCAACACTTGAATGATTAACAATTTCACGAGAAACTGTCAAGAATAGAAGAAAAAAAAGAGAAAACATGAAACTTTATTTTGTACAAGTGAAAACAAAAATTACGATAAATGTGTTAAAATTATAAAAAGAAAACGACAATGTTAAGTAATAAATACCATTTTCATTGTAGATTCTACATAGTGTTATACTGTTAGTATTTTTAATGTTTTGGAAATTCTTATTACAATTATTGAGAAATATAATGAATGAATAATTAGTGTGAAACATAAATTTTCAGATGTTTTTAATGACTAACACTTGATTGACAATGTTCCATAAGTTTGTGGAAGTTTTAATTCATTTTTGTATTCGTTATTTGAATCTTCCAATTGATCAGTCTCTTAATCGCAAATGTCTATTCTGTGAGAATTACCTCGATATTCCACTGTTAGCCACCACCACCACCACCATCTCTGCTTATAATGTTTATGACTAAAGGCAATATCGAGGCAATCCGTACATAATGTAAGTATGACAGTAAGAGACTGATTAATTGAAGTCCTAAACATCAAATGGAAGATTCAAACAACCAACACAAAAATCAATATGATAAGTGTTCAAATGTGAACTTCTTCATCTCTTCTTGTTATGTGCTACTGCATTCAGTCAGTCATTCAACTACAACGTAGGACCAGGCACATATATGCATCGGTCCAAGTTGCCACACCTCATTAGCACAACAAGATGAACACCGAATTCATAGAAGTAGTTAATTCAATGGTTGTAATACATAAAAGAAAGATTGTATATAAGGATATAGCACAGGAAAAAAGAATTGGTTGATAGAAAGATATAAAGTAATTTTAATCTCATAGTTTAGAGGAAGACAGAAAGTGTACACAGCTACGCCATTTTGATCGATTCTGAGCCATGTCACCCAGAGTCTAACTGTGGTGTGGGTTACTTATATCCATATAAGTAGTATATAACGACGGTCAGGCATAGAATGTATTTCAGTAGAAGATCGATAAGGAAAGAACGGGAACGGAACGCAATTGGTGTGAAAATGAATGAACAATAAAATCTGAGACAATGGACTGATATTTGCAAAAACAACAGTCAAGTTTGAGATGATGGATTGATATTTTGTAAACTAACTATTTACTATATGGTTCTCAGATTTTAGTGAGATGCTCTGTAATTTCGAGTCATATACATTCGATTGTCCCCACTCGTGTTCTTGTTCACTACACAACCATTAGTAACAATAATCGTTGTTGCATTATTAGTAATTCGAAATATATTCAGTTACTACAAATTCATATAAAGTAGAACTATACAGAAAACTAAATAAGTTACTCAATAGTCGTCTATGTACAAGATGTTTACTTACTAGATTAGTGGCAACATAGAAATCTACACAAATTGTGAACATCTAGTATCGGTTATGTACAGCAAAACTGTCTATTCAGTTTAGATTTCTTTAATTTCGATAGTAGTATACACAATGAATGCTCTTGCATTAATAATTTTATAATTTGTTCCATTTATTAGCTTTCTACCGACTGGATCATGAAGACGTCAACATCTGAAAGGAAACACGGGATACAGTGGACATATAGGATGCAGCTGGACGACCTAGACTCCGCAGATGATCTGGCCCTCCTATCGCAAATGCAACAACAAGTGCAGAAGACGACCAGTGTAGCAGCAGTCTCAGCAGAAGTAGGTTTCAATATACACAAAGGGAAAAGCATGATTATCCGACACAACACACCATGCATCAACCCAATCACAATTGACGGTGATTTGGAAGATGTAAAAACCTTTACATATTTGGGCAGCATCATTAATGAGCACGGTGGGTCTGATGCCAATGTGCAGGCGCGGATCGGCAAAACGAGAGAGCCATTCTGCAATTAAAGAACATCTAGAACTCAAAACAATTTTTCTGTTAACCAACACCGAGGTCAGAATTTTCAATACAAGTGTCAAGACAGTTCTACTGTATGGGGCAGAAACTCGGAGAACTACGAAAGCCATCATCCAGAAGATACAAGTGTTTATTAACAGTTGTCAATGTAAAATGCTTTGGATCCGTTAGTCAGACACTATCAGCAACAACCTACTATGAGAGAGAACAAACCAGAACAAATCAACTGAGGAAGAAATCAGGAAGAAACGCTGTGAGTGGATAGGAAACACATTGAGGAAAGCACCCAACTGCGTCACAAGACAAGACCTAATATGGAATCCTCAAGGCCAAAGGAAAAGAGGAAGACCAAAGAACACATTACGCCGGGAAATGGAGAAAGACATGAGAAAAATGAACAAGAATTGGATGGGACTAGAAAATAAGGCCCAGGACAGAGTGGGTTGGAGAATGCTGGTCGGCGGCCTATGCTCCATTGGGAGTAACAGGCGCAAGTAAGTAAGTAAGTATTAGCTTTCTGATAACGACTCTGTTTTTAAAGCACTGTTTATATGCTTTAGCCTATTACATTATTTTATTTCTACATTGATTAAAAGAGTTTCGTATGCACAGAGTACTTATGAAACATGAATACTGAATAATAATAAGCAAGTTTCTTCACTTGATTATTTGCTGAACTAACATAGAAACTAAATAAACGATTTCCAAGTTAATATTTATATAGTAATGAAAATCGACTCATTTTAAATGATATTTTCATTAATTTACATAGATTAAAACTTAATACATTAGATATTCAAATCATTAATCAAAGATTTTAGTGGTTTTATTATTTAACACTGACCTTGAGAATTCAAACCTGACCAGTTACTACTGATAGACTCTCCAGTTAAAGATGGATTCCTCAAATTTTGATTACTAAGACGATGGATTGTGCTCAAATAATTACCATTAATTGGACCATTACCAACACTACTTCCACTGCTACTAGTACTTGCATAACTCGCTAAACTTCCTGAACCTACATATCCATAACCATAACCGTAGCTAGTAGATGATGAAGAGGCAGATGAAGGAGTTGCAATTGTTCCAGGACCTGTAGCATAACCTAAACTGATTGATGATGTAGAAGATAGTTGACGACGATGTGTTTCAAATGCACCAGGATCTTTACTACCACTAATATTATTATTATCATTAGTCAGAGTAGTAGCAGTTATCAATTTATTTATTTGATTAGATTGATTAACATGATCTTGATATTCATAATTTGCCAATTCATTGGGTTCCGGTTGTTTTCTGAAATAAATCAGAAAAAAACTGTTTTAGCATATTCAAGGCTGCAAGGTAAAGAATTAAAAGTCAATACAGTAGAGAAAATAAAACTACCTGTGGATTGTTATAACCAGAGGTGGATGGTGGCTAGCAATAAAATTCAAGACGCGAGTTTTGTCCTATTTGGGACTCGTCAGCTGGATATACCTGCAGTCCATAGTTGATCTTCATTCTTTGACTATAGGTAAGATAAGCATTTTTCCAAAATGGAAGCGTCTCATACTAAGGTGAAATAGCTATTTACTGTTCACTAGTTCATCATAATACCATGAACGATATCAATCCATGGTGGTGGAGAGAAAATCATTTACACATAAAACTAGTAGTTGAAAATCCTACTATGTACATGATATCACGATAAAAAAAACAATTGGACTAAAACAAACGTATACACACATACTATGCATAAAGGGTTGTAAAAAAGCCATCAGATTAAAGTCTGAAAAACATGGAATCAGTTATAATTAACCTAGATCCTAAAATGAGCATTTCCTAGCTGAAGTTTTCGCATCAGATAAATACGAGATGAAATCAATAACATGTATTGAAAAGAAGTCTAAATAATAGTAGTACTAATAATAGTGAGAAAGATTAAACATTGAAGAATATAATTTGAAGTTAAGTTACAGATAACAGAATCTGAAGACATAGGGGGGGAGATAGGGTGAATGCAAATGATTCTAAGCCGTGTCCTTAGGGACTTCAGCCCACAAACCATACAAAACCAAACCACGTCCTCTGCAATTATCAATATAGCTCAGTCCAGTATTTAATACTTTCATAAACTTATGTGGTGTTTTGTTTTAACAACATTGGGTTTTCATCTAACCTCCTTCTACTAGTTTCTTATGAATTTAATTGATACAATTACCTTGAGGACCACACCAGAACTGAAGTGGCAAAAAAGGTGATAACAATCCCAATAGGAAAGGATTTTTATCGAATATTAAGATAAGAATAAGCTGATAATGTCTGTGATTATAACTCCGCCTGTAGCTCTTCCAGAGTTACTGCCGGTCCCAAGCCCGGGTAAAGGAGGAGGGTTGGGCATGGGGTTAGCGTCCCCATCCCGTAGAAAACTAACTCGCTAAAAAAACGCTTACCAGAAAAAATAATCCAAACCATTTTAACTCTGCCCTGGGAGTTAGAAGGTCTTCATTTAGAAGAATTATGACGCTTCATAGTGAAAGCCGAGTTCCTTCGCAAGCCACGAGGCCGATGCCCCTTCTAACAACCAGAGCAAAAATTTTTATAGGTACATGGAACGTTCGAACAATGTGGGAAACCGGGAAGACCAGTCAAATACCAATGGAAATGAGGAGATACAACTTAGCAATACTGGGAATCTGCGAAACCCACTGGACCCAAGCTGGACAGAAAAGGCTATCTACGGGAGAGATGCTGCTATACTCCGGTCAGGAAGAGGACAATGCTCCACACACTCAGGGAGTCGCTCTTATGCTGTCCAAAGTAGCACGAAATGCACTTGTAGGATGGGAATCTCACGGATCCAGAATCATCAAAGCATCATTGAAAACAAAGAAGGAGGGGATCTTAATGAATATTATCCAATGTTATGCACCCACCAATGATAGCAACGACGAAATTAAAGATCAGTTCTACGAGCAGCTGCAGTCAATCCTTGAGAAATGCCCAAGAAAGGACCTAACTATTCTGATGGGAGATCTAAATGCCAAAGTCGGAATAGACAACACTGGATATGAAGATATTATGGGACGACATGGACTGGGAGAAAGAAACGAAAATGGAGAGAGATTTGCAAATCTATGTGCATTCAACAAATTGGTCATTGGAGGCACAATATTTCCACACAAGCGTATACACAAGGCTACATGGATCTCACCGGACCACACTACAGAGAACCAAATAGATCATATTTGCATCAACAAAAAATTCCGAAGGACAATCGAAGATGTGAGAACCAGGAGAGGTGCTGACGTAGCTTCAGATCACCATATAGTTGTAGCCAATTTGAAACTGAAGCTAAAAAAGAACTGGACAAGTGGACAAACAGCAATACAAAGGTTCAATACAACCTTCCTTCGAGATACTGACAAACTCAATGAATTCAAGATAGCTCTCAACAACAGGTTCCAAGCCTTACAAGATCTACTGAAAGAAGAAGAAACTACTATGGAGGACAACTGGAAAGGCATCAAGGAAGCATTAATTTCAACGTGTCAAGAGGTTCTCGGTCTAAAGAAATACCATCATAAGGAATGGATCTCTACAGAAACACTGGACAAGATCAAAGAAAGGAAGAACAAGAAGGCAGCAATAAACAACAGCCGAACACGGGCAGAGAAAGTCCAAGCAGAAGCTGAATACATAGAAGCAAACAAACAAGTGAAGAGGAGTATTAGAGGCGACAAGAAGAAATACGTGGAAGAACTAGCAACGACGGCAGAAAAAGCTGCTAGAGAAGGAAATATGAAACAGCTTCACAATACAACGAAGAAACTAGCAGGGAAATACAGTAAACCAGAGAGGCCGGTCAAAGACAAAAAGCCAATCACCGAAATTCAACAACAGCGTAACAGATGGGTAGAATACTTCGAGGAACTCCTGAATAGGCCGGCCCCAATGAATCCACCGGACATCGAAGCAGTACACATAGATCTTCCTATAGATGTCAATCCACCAACTACGGAAGAAATTAGAATGGCCGTCAGACAAATCAAGAACGGGAAAGCAGCGGGACCCGACGACATACCAGCTGAAGCACTGAAATCAGACATCGAAACAACCACAAGCATGCTTTATCTTCTATTCAAAAAGATTTGGAAGGAGGAACAAGTGCCGATGGACTGGAAAGAAGGACACCTCGTCAAGATTCCAAAGAAAGGAGATCTGAGCAAATGTGAAAACTACAGAGGCATAACACTACTGTCAATACCAGGGAAAGTCTTCAACAGATTGTTGCTGAACCGGATGAAGGATGCAGTAGACGCCCAACTTCGAGATCAACAAGCTGGATTCCGAAAGGATCGGTCGTGCACAGACCAAATTGCAACACTACGGATCATCGTCGAACAATCAGTTGAGTGGAACTCATCACTATACATCAACTTCATTGATTATGAAAAGGCATTCGACAGTGTAGATAGGAGGATATTATGGAAAGTTCTTCGACACTACGGAGTTCCCGAGAAAATTGTCAATATTATCCGGAATTCATACGACGGACTACAGTGCAAAGTAGTGCATAGAGGACAGCTGACAGATGCATTCCAAGTAAGGACTGGAGTCAGACAAGGCTGTTTACTCTCTACCTTCCTCTTTCTTCTGGTGGTCGACTGGATTATGAAGACCTCAACATCTGAAGGAAAAACACGGCATACAATTGACAGTTCATAGCCAATTAGACAATTCGAACTTTGCAGATGACCTAACCCTCCTATCGCACACACACGAACAGATGCAGATGAAGACAGCCAGTGTAGCAGCAGTCTCTGCATCAGTAGGCCTCAGCATACACAAAGGGAAAACTAAGGTCCTCAAATTCAAAGCGGAAAACAGCAATCCAATCACACTTGATGGCGAAACTCTGGAAGATGTAGAGTCCTTCACATACCTGGGAAGCATCATCGATGAACAAGGAGGATCCGATGCAGACGTAAAGGCGAGGATCGGCAAAGCAAGGGCCGCATTCCTACAATTGAAGAACATATGGAACTCAAAACAACTTTCAACCAATATCAAAGTGAGAATCTTCAATACGAACATCAAGGCAGTTCTACTGTATGGAGCTGAAACTTGGAGAACTACAACAACCACAATCAAGAAAGTACAAGTATTTATAAATAACTGTCTACGCAAGATACTCAACATCCATTGGCCGGATACCATCAGCAATAGCCTTCTGTGGGAGAGAACAAACCAACTTCCAGCTGAAGAAGAAATTAGGAAAAGACGATGGAAATGGATAGGACATACATTACGCAAATCGTCAAACTGCATCACGAGGCAAGCCCTAACTTGGAATCCTGAAGGGGAGCGAAAAAGAGGAAGGCCAAAGAACACATTGCGTCGGATAATAGAAGCAGATATGAAAACGATGAATTACAACTGGACGGAGCTAGAAAGGATTGCCCAGGACAGGGTTGGATGGAGAATGCTGGTGAGCGGCCTATGCTCCTTCACGAGGAGTAACAGGCGTAAGTAAGTATGTAAGTCTGTGATTATATGATAACAGTCTATGGAACAATAATCAAATGAAGTTCGAAACTGTGATTATAACTTTACAATGTTAAACCATCTTTAAATGAACAAAGTTTTCACAAACTACAAGCCAATCATTATTAATGACCAACTTTGAGACGGATCTACTAATAATTCATGAACTACGAAACTAACCAGGTTGATCGTGAGATACTTATCTAGACGATGAAATCAGATGACGATCACTTTACAGTACGAACTGAATAAAACTTATGGATGAAATCTTATTGGATTCCAGTTGTTTAAATATGTCTTTTTCACCACAGGACCTGATGGTGGAACTTTGATCTCGTATATATATAGGGTGAGACTATAATTTATGGACGAACCAATCAGATTTAGAATAGCAGGTCTTGGATTTTGACACGAAATTTATTAACCCATTTGGCCGAATAGCGTCTTGAAATTTTAGCTGTTAGTTCGTTATGAAAAACCGTAAAGCTAATTCCTAACCTTAAACATCAACTGTGAATCATAATCCTTATTCTTCAAACTACTTTATAACCCTCGTTTAACTCCAATAAGTAGGTAGACACTCTCAAGGTCACTTTGGTGTCTCTTGAAGGTCGTCCATAAATTATAGTCTCACCATATATAGTTTTAAACTGATGCAAATTGTTATCCAGTGCTCTTTAATTGATAATCTAACCTTACAGCTAATTCCAGTTCGAGAAAAAAATACATATATGCAATGGATCTGTTTGTTGACTTTGCCATTTAGA